AGTCTGACCCTGGTTCCAAAGGAGTACCAAGTTATCCTGTCAGTTGACAATCTTACAATCTGCGACTGCCAGTGTCTCGTGATAGTCATCAGGCGCTTTCGATTATTCACACTGAAAATATTAAACGCTTGACCACCACTCCCACTTCTAGGTGCCGAGGATGTGTCTGAGTCAGCTTGACTGGGGAGGAGTTGGGGCTCAGTGGCTAGCCTGACATAAAACTATCGTCAGCGGCCTTGCACACATAGGCTCAAATCTCACACAATGTGTGGTACCATATAGGCCACCTTAAGAATAATCTTTTCCGGTCTGATCCTCCTTTCACAGGTGGGCTAGGTTATATCCTCAGCTCACAACCTTCGAATCTGCGACTTTTAGGGCGTCATGGTGGTTTCATGTGCGGTTGCGGATAAACACTGAACTACTGATGTATCGATATGCTTGACTTTCTAGAGCAGGCAAGCTCCAGAACCGTCAAACAACCTATGAGTACTCGTTTTGGGTGTGTGTGGGGTCTACGTGACAAAATCTAGACCTAACACGCATTTTTTCGAATCTAGGGTAGCTGTCACCCGTGCACCTTTGGGTTGTCAGTCACCTTAGTTGCGCTTATTCAGATGCGTACTGTCACATACTCGACTTTGAAGCTATTTCCTGTGAAGGATCCAACGAGACTTGTTTTTTCCCCATAAAATTATGTCAAATGTGGCCGGTTATTTTTTTGTAGATTAGGTCTTCTGTGAGAAGTATTTGGCTCCAGACAGGACGAGAAGCTGAATGATGTTTCGTGTCTCCGTTAGAATCGCTTATATGTGTTATTAGATCGGCTTATTCTACAGGCCTATCATATTGTATGTAGAAGGAGTAGTCACAAGAAAGAGGGCCCCAGGGATAGCCGTTTCTGGCCCTACAGTGATCGTCGGCCAACCCTATCTAACACGAGGTACAGATCGTTCGGGGTTGCTCGAAATGAGGACTTTTATGCATTCAAATACTCAAGATGACTTTTAGCAACCAGACGGGCACTTATTATATTTTCTTTTGTCACACAGGCCGGATGTGCTAGCTGGGATGATTCGGATCAAAAACTTCCATCAACAGTTTCTCCCAAATGCTCTGCGGGCCCTCTTGACCGAAATACCGACACCCGAGCAGAACGCCACCAAATTCATGGCTCAGCTCATCCAAGCCTTCTCGGAGCATTTTGTTCGATGTAATCCTAGCATCGGACTTCCCCCGGGTGAGTTGTTTGTCTCCCTCCCTTCTGGTGTGACTGACTACCTTTTCCTGGCTTCACGTGATATGCAGCTGGGTAGCTGTCTGCCTCAGTTCAATGGAGAATGGCGTTCGTAAGTAAGCAAGTCAGTATAGTCGGACGGTTGCTTTCAGCGTATAATTGTTGAGCTGTTGTCTTCTCTTCCAGATGCGGTCTACATCATCTGCTTCTCCCTGATTATGCTCTCGCTGGACTTCTCCTGTCCCCAAATCAAAAACAAAATGTCCAAGCGGGAGTTCATTCGCAATACCCGACGCGCTGCACTGCAGCCGTCCTGCGACGAATTTTTGGGCAGTCTGTACGACAATGTCTACTTGGAGGGCGTCATTGCGAAGCCCTCGATTGTCGTGCCCAGCCGTTCCAGGCGCTCCAAGTCCTCACCCACGCACCGCTTTCCCAGTCCGCACCGACCCTTCTACGTGTTTCGATGAGTTTACCTGCCCGCCCGCTCCCTTTCCCCGTCGCATTCAGTGGTCATGTTCTGACTGCGCCATATCTTCATCATCATCATCTTCTTCTGATTTCACCCTGCGCCATTGGCTGGCTTTCACCCGTTTACGCTCAGCTCGACCCCCCGCCCCCTGAGCGTACTCTTCTTTTTAACGGTTACTTTATTTTCCACCAGAATGTTCTTTTTTTCGTGTGCGTATATGCACTCACCTATTCATTAATCTGTCTGAATGTGTGCGTTTGGTTTTATCAGATGCTCTAGATTTATTGCTGAAAAGAATCCTATCTTTATCGGTCCTCTCACTGTTCGCTGCTTAGCTTTTTTTAGTTTGCCAATACGGGCATCCGATAGTTGTGTTCGCGTTGTTCAACTTCATACTGGAGCCTTCTGTAACTTGTTTGTATGCAAAAAAGTTATTTTAGGCGTGTCAGTTTCATCAGGTGGTGGGTTCTACGGCTTTCTCGATTCGGACCCTAGAAGCTCTATTCTTAAATGAGGAACGAACAGTTTCATTGGAGCCTGATACATTTTCGAAGGTCATCACCCTCAGAGAGGACTGTCGAATAAAATATTCTTGATCGTTCAAAGTTAACGGACTGTGAAGAAGGCAACTCGATCGCTGGGGCAATACTTTTATTCACCTGACGTTTCGACACCCGTCGCGGATTTATCATCAGAGACAGTAGCATAAAACGATAGCAGAAACGGTGTCAAGGGTGTTTCAGCAATCAACCTTACCAGCGGCAATGTGCGTCTCACAGTCTCTTGTCATGGCTGTGGGTATTGACCCCCCTTAAACCAGTCAGACAGTAGGTCCGTTGGGCCAACCGGGGTGTCAGCTCCGGGTACGTCAGGCGTTATGGAGAACTTGCATCCATAACGAGTGCCGCACACGGGACGGTGTAGTGGTACGCCTAGGCACAAGTTCACGCCAAGCCGGCCATATTCAG